CAACGCAAATGTTGTATGAGGTTATGCTGCCGTTTGAACTCGAGTGTATTAAGTTAACAATTTGTGCCAAGAGAGACAACAATGGCACGTCCTTGCACCGAGGGAGACTAAACCCCCCTTTTCACATTTTTAATCCCTCCCTTTCCATCCAAGAAGCAAATTGAAGATCAGCCCAAACTTGAACAAATCCACAAGGGCCGGGACGACGGTTCGAACCTACGTCCGAGAGGATCCCAGCCCAAACTTCTTCTCGATGGGAAAACTTAACGCTTTATACCATATTACTGGTCAGCTGAGCTGTCTCACACCGTGTTGACTGATGGTTCCCTGCGCCGCCCCACGGGTGCAGCTGGCAGTACAGTTGTCCTGAAAGGAAGTACAGTTGTCCTGAAAGGAAGTACAGTTGTCCTGAAAGGAAGTACAGTTGTTCTGAAAGGAAGTACAGTTGTCCTGAAAATGAGTGATGGCTTACCATTCCATTCCCCTGGGCTCTAGGAGGCTCGAACCGTGAACCCAACACGTGTAAGGCAGAACTCCTATCCACTCAGCTATGAGTTGTCTTAATAAGGAAAGATTCCAGAAGCAGTATCCTGCTGCTAAACTGAAATTTTCGACTTTTCCCTGACTCAGAGGAATTAGTGAACCACGGCCACGTCATATAAATTAGTCATATAAAATATAAACTATCTAGCGATAGCTTTTACGGGCTCACCATAGCCCGTGCTACTTGGACATTTTGTTCTGAGTAGCTAAATCTAAAACAACAACAACAGCGATGGTTGTATTTTGAGTAGGGAGTCCATGTGAACAAGTGACCTTTGACCCTTCAGCATACCACATGAACTCAGCTGTGTACATGTCTGCAAACTTGATACATTAATTGTAAGTTGTTCTTTATAATCATTAATTGTGCTCAACTCTTTCAGACACAATTGTAACATGTTCTTGATTGAAGCTAGACGCAAATACAACAAAATTATTAATAATGGTAACAGAGTCCATTTCGTGGTAATTCCACCACATTCAAGCCTCCGAGTGCTTGATGGAACTGGTGACTTAGCCAAAGAATCTGCTCTCAAAGCATGAGTTGACTATAACCATCGCTTGCCTACAAACATCTTAAGAACAATAATAAGCCAAGAAATTTAACAAACCCGTGTTGATCTGAGACAAAATGAAACCAACATTCGCAGATTCATCTCCCATCACACGCAAGAAGAACCAAAGATACGTGGATCGTCGAATAATATCAGGAGACTCCTAGATTTTATTACTGCTCGGCTTAGACTCGGCTATAAGTATCTTTGGGAGTTCGCATTACCTGTTGATGCCGTCCTCACCAAATGTAACATGTCAGCAGAACTATTCACACGACCTCCGTCACTATGCGATAGAACGCTAAAAGAGAAATGATTTTTTACAGACACTTCTATAACAAATGTTTAAGAATTGTGTAAATATTTCATTCATAACAATATATCAGATTTTTTTTTCCAAATATGCCCCAGTTTGCTTTGTTGGACATGTGGGTAATTGTAATCTTTCCGGCGCCGCGTACAGTATGCGTGGGGGGGGTGCGGGTGGGGTGTGGAGGGGGAGCTGTATGGTAAACAAATCATATTTTAAAAATAACTCGCCGCAAATGTAATGCTTAGTTTAAAGACTGTACTTGTGGCCGTCCTCGAACCCATTGTCGGTACATGCATTAAGCTGTGTAAACAGCTTATCAAGACTGTAACTTGCTTAGAAAAATGAATTTTGGGGTTCAGTTCCTGAGCCCATCATGTGCCTTTGTAACTTTTTCCACTGTCGTCTATAGGATGGGGTATGGTGTCCCTGGAGTCCACTACCGTCCACAGGATGGGGTATGGTGTCCCTGGAGTCCACTACCATTCACAGGATGGGGTATGGTGTCCCTGGAGTCCACTACCGTCCACAGGATGAAGTATGGTGTCTCTGGAGTCCACTACCGTCCACAGGATGGGATATGGTGTCCCTGGAGTCCACTACCGTCCACAGCATGGGATATGGTGTCCCTGGAGTCCACTACCGTCCACAGCATGGGATATGGTGTCCCTGGAGTCCACTACCGTCCACAGCATGGGATATGGTGTCCCTGGAGTCCACTACCGTCCACAGCATGGGATATGGTGTCCCTGGAGTCCACTACCGTCCACAGCATGGGATATGGTGTCCCTGGAGTCCACTACCGTCCACAGCATGGGATATGGTGTCCCTGGAGTCCACTACCGTCCACAGCATGGGATATGGTGTCCCTGGAGTCCACTACCGTCCACAGCATGGGATATGGTGTCCCTGGAGTCCACTACCGTCCACAGCATGGGATATGGTGTCCCTGGAGTCCACTACCGTCCACAGCATGGGATATGGTGTCCCTGGAGTCCACTACCGTCCACAGCATGGGATATGGTGTCCCTGGAGTCCACTACCGTCCACAGCATGGGATATGGTGTCCCTGGAGTCCACTACCGTCCACAGCATGGGATATGGTGTCCCTGGAGTCCACTACCGTCCACAGCATGGGATATGGTGTCCCTGGAGTCCACTACCGTCCACAGCATGGGATATGGTGTCCCTGGAGTCTACTACCGTCCACAGCATGGGATATGGTGTCCCTGGAGTCTACTACCGTCCACAGCATGGGATATGGTGTCCCTGGAGTCCACTACCGTCCACAGCATGGGATATGGTGTCCCTGGAGTCCACTACCGTCCACAGCATGGGATATGGTGTCCCTGGAGTCCACTACCGTCCACAGCATGGGATATGGTGTCCCTGGAGTCCACTACCGTCCACAGCATGGGATATGGTGTCCCTGGAGTCCACTACCGTCCACAGCATGGGATATGGTGTCCCTGGAGTCCACTACCGTCCACAGCATGGGATATGGTGTATGTAATACACGAACGAAACCAAACAAGCTTACCTGTGACACGGACACAGATGACACAGACAAGCTTCAGGACCAGAGGACACGGGTGGAAGCTGGAGACACAGATGACACAGGCAAGCTTCAGGACCAGAGGACACGGGTGGAAGCTGGAGACACAGACGACACAGACAAGCTTCAGGACCAGAGGACACGGGTGGAAGCTGGAGACACAGATGACACAGACACGCTTCAGGACCAGAGGACACGGGTGGAAGCTGGAGACACAGACGACACAGACACGCTTCAGGACCAGAGGACACGGGTGGAAGCTGGAGACATAGATGACACAGACACGCTTCAGGACCAGAGGACACGGGTGGAAGCTGGAGACACAGATGACACAGACACGCTTCAGGACCAGAGGACACGGGTGGAAGCTGGAGACACAGATGACACAGACACGCTTCAGGACCAGAGGACACGGGTGGAAGCTGGAGACACAGATGACACAGACACGCTTCAGGACCAGAGGACACGGGTGGAAGCTGGAGACACAGATGACACAGACACGCTTCAGGACCAGAGGACACGGGTGGAAGCTGGAGACACAGATGACACAGACACGCTTCAGGACCAGAGGACACGGGTGGAAGCTGGAGACACAGATGACACAGACACGCTTCAGGACCAGAGGACACGGGTGGAAGCTGGAGACACAGACGACACAGACAAGCTTCAGGACCAGAGGACACGGGTGGAAGCTGGAGACATAGATGACACAGACAAGCTTCAGGACCAGAGGACACAGGTGGAAGCTGGAGACATAGATGACACAGACAAGCTTCAGGACCAGAGGACACGGGTGGAAGCTGGAGACACAGACGACACAGACAAGCGTCAGGACCAGAGGACACGGGTGGAAGCTGGAGACACAGATGACACAGACACGCTTCAGGACCAGAGGACACGGGTGGAAGCTGGAGACACAGACGACACAGACAAGCTTCAGGACCAGAGGACACGGGTGGAAGCTGGAGACACAGACGACACAGACAAGCTTCAGGACCAGAGGACACGGGTGGAAGTTGGAGACACAGATGACACGGACAGACGTGTCATCAATAAACACTTCACCGTTAGAGTCACAAGTAAATAAAACGCGATTCTTGAAGAGAACGTCGAAGCAAATTAAAAAAATTGAATCCAGAAATACAACGAGAGACCGGACGAATGTGATTCATCACAATAACTGACCAGGCAGTGGAAAGGCGGGGTACGGGAGCTTGGGCCCTACCCTCTCAACACAACTAGATGAGTACTCAAACACAGCAGCAAGAGAGAGCTACACATCAGCCCCACACTGCTGGAATCCTACACTAATGAGAGGAGATAAATCATTCTATGATTCCTTCAACTGCGTAGTGGAACCTACACATATACACATTATATATATATATATATATATATATATATATATATATATATATATATATATATATATATATATGTATGTCGTACCTAGTAGCCAGAACGCACTTCTCAGCCTACTATGCAAGGCCCGATTTGCCTAATAAGCCAAGTTTTCATGAATTAATTGTTTTTCGACTGCCTAACCTACCTAACCTAATCTAACCTATCTTTTTCGGCTACGTAACCAAACCTAACCTATAAAGATAGGTTAGGTTAGGTTAGGTAGGGTTGGTTAGGTTCGGTCATATATCAACGTTAATTTTAACTCCAATAATAAAAAATTGACCTCATACATAATGAAATGGGTAGCTTTATCATTTCATAAGAAAAAAATTAGAAAAAATATATTAATTCAGGGAAACTTGGCTTATTAGGCAAATCGGGCCTTGCATAGTAGGCCGAGTACGACGTTCTGGCTACTAGGTACAACATATATATATATATATATATATATATATATGTCGTACCTAATAGCCAGAACGCACTTCTCAGCCTACTATTCAAGGCCCGATTTGCCTAATAAGCCAAGTTTTCATGAATTAATGTTTTTTCGTCTACCTAACCTACCTAACCTAACCTAACATAGCTTTTTTTGGCTACCTAACCTAACCTTACCTATAAATATAGGTTAGGTTAGGTTAGGTAGGGTTGGTTAGGTTCGGTCATATATCTACGTTAATTTTAACTCCAATAAAAAAAAATTGACCTCATACATAGAGAAAAGGGTTGCTTTATCATTTCATAAGAAAAAAATTATAGTAAATATATTAATTCAGGAAAACTTGGCTTATTAGGCAAATCGGGCCTTGAATAGTAGGCTGAGAAGTGAGTTCTGGCTACTAGGTACGACATATATATATATATATATATATATATATATATATATATATATATATATATATATATATATATGTCGTACCTAGTAGCCAGAACGCACTTCTCAGTCTACTATGCAAGGCCCGATTTGCCTAATAAGCCAAGTTTTCCTGAATTAATATATTATCTCAATTTTTTTTCTTATGAAATGATAAAGCTACCCATTTCATTATGTATGAGGTCAATTTTTTTTATTGGAGTTAAAATTAACGTAGATATATGACTGAACCTAACCAACCCTACCTAACCTAACCTAACCTATCTTTTTAGGTTAGGTTAGGTTAGGTAGCTGAAAAAGTTAGGTTAGGTTAGGTTAGGTAGGTTAGGTAGTCGAAAAACAATTAATTCATGAAAACTTGGCTTATTAGGCAAATCGGGCCTTGCATAGTAGGCTGAGAAGTGCGTTCTGGCTACTAGGTACGACATATATATATATATATATATATATATATGTCGTACCTAGTAGCCAGAACTCACTTCTCAGCCTACTATTCAAGGCCCGATTTGCCTAATAAGCCAAGTTTTCCTGAATTAATATATTTACTATAATTTTTTTCTTAAGAAATGATAAAGCAACCCTTTTCTCTATGTATGAGGTCAATTTTTTTTATTGGAGTTAAAATTAACGTAGATATATGACCGAACCTAACCAACCCTACCTAACCTAACCTAACCTATATTTATAGGTAAGGTTAGGTTAGGTAGCCAAAAAAAGCTAGGTTAGGTTAGGTTAGGTAGGTTAGGTAGACGAAAAAACATTAATTCGTGAAAACTTGGCTTATTAGGCAAATCGGGCCTTGAATAGTAGGCTGAGAAGTGCGTTCTGGCTATTAGGTACGACATATATATATATATATATATATATATATATATATATATATATATATATATATATATATATAGTGTGTAGTGTAACAGTAGTGTAAAGGGTATTGTAGTATGGTGGTAGTGTAGTATGGTGGTAGTGTAGTATAGTGGTAGTGTAATGTGGTTGTAGTGTAGTATGGTGGTAGTGTAGTATAGTGGTAGTGTAATGTGGTTGTAGTGTAGTATGGTGGTAGTGTAGTATGGTGGTAGTGTAGGGGGGGGCAGTAGATGAGTGTGGTGGCGAGGAGCGGCAACCCGTGTGTGTGTGGGGGCGGGGCCTGGGCCGCGGGAGGGCACCAGAGCCCGCTAGCGTTCAGTAGCTCATGTGAATGTGAGCCATCAACAACCTCCCGGACCACGTGGTGACCGTTCCTCCACTCTTCTTCCCAACTCTGTGAACCTTAAAAACCTTGAAACACAATTTTTTTTTAATATATATATATATATTTTTGGTGTCCGCGGGCCCCTTTACCTCCTCCCTTCCCTCCCACGAGTGATATTTATTTGTGGGGTGTTTTGAAACGAGAGGAAAACTCTGGGTAGTTGGTTCGAGCGAGAGTTTCTCGCTGGCGCAAGGAACGATAATATAGTTATGATGGTGTCCAGACCTACGTTGTTGCTGCTGGCGGCGCTGCTTGCAACAGGTAAGGTTATCTTGAGGTTATCTTAAGTTCTACTAATCTACCTGCTAGCACACTCCACCATCTCCATACATTACAATCTACCAATCTACTAAATACAAACTTTGTTTCAGTCAAGTCTGAAAAGCTTGTATAAATATTTAAATATAAAAACTCATATTTTCGCTACAGATTGTATATAAACATTTTTAATTTAGCATTTAATATGTTAAAATACTTGTAAACCGGAGTAACAGTTGTTTATTCATGAAAGCCAATTAGAACATTATTAACTCATGAACCAGTCTTCAGAACCCGCAATTAATTAACCCCGTGGGTGGGAACTGCCCTATTTGAGTTGTTATGATGTGGTGTGACAAGTGTGGCAGTGGTGGGACCACACTTGTTGACACACCTGAGGGCTTATTAATATACTCTTACGCTAGTTATTGAATCCTTCCATGCCAGCGATGGTTTTATTCTCTTCGGGGAATAATATATAGCATATATACATATATATATATATATATATATATATATATATATATATATATATATATATATATATATATATATATATATATATATATATATATATATATATATACACATATACATATATATAAATTCTTGTAAACACTTCGTGTCATGTAGATGAACACAGACATATAATATATGGAAATTTTTGCATATATATATGTGAGAACAAAAAAATTTGACTGGGAAAATGTGATTTGATTTTGGTGGCAGTAGAGGATGGACGAGGCCAAGCTCGTCTAGTTGTCACGGGTCATTAGCTTGTTTGTCGGTAGTTAGCTCGTTACAGCGAAAGGTGTATACACTTGAGAGTTTACTGTAGTCCTGGACTATGTTGAGGGGCAAGGGTATACTTGGTGGTTGGTCAGTAAACTATTGTCACGGCTCTTAATGACCTCAAGTAGTTAATTGGCCTTAATAGCCAACACCAATTTCCTGGTTTCTCTCCCTTGATCGTCTTGACCAATGAGAAGTGGTGTTGCTTAAACTACTTACTACCTGTTGTAGTTGTTGTTATAGATTCAGCCACTTGGAACAAGTTCTAAGTAGCACGGGCTATGGTGAGCCCGTACCTTACCCGGCACAGGAGTGGGGCAAGTAGCACGGGCTATGGTGAGCCCGTAACTTACCCGGCACAGGAGCGGGGCAAGTAGCACGGGCTATGGTGAGCCCGTAACTTACCCGGCACAGGAGTGGGGCAAGTAGCATGGGCTATGGTGAGCCCGTAACTTACCCGGCACAGGAGCGGGGCAAGTAGCATGGGCTATGGTGAGCCCGTAACTTACCCGGCACAGGAGCGGGGCAACTAGCACGGGCTATGGTGAGCCCGTACCTTACCCGGCACAGGAGCGGGGCAAGTAGCACAGGCTATGGTGAGCCCGTAACTTACCCGGCACAGGAGCGGGGCAAGTAGCACGGGCTATGGTGAGCCCGTAACTTACCCGGCACAGGAGCGGGGCAAGTAGCACGGGCTATGGTGAGCCCGTAACTTACCCGGCACAGGAGTGGGGCAAGTAGCACGGGCTATGGTGAGCCCGTACCTTACCCGGCACAGGAGTGGGGCAAGTAGCACGGGCTATGGTGAGCCCGCAGTGGACTTACCTGGTACAGGAGCGGTGCTGGGAACGTGCCTTGTTAATACTCCCGTTGATGCTCTCATGTTCAGATGAGGCACTTAGCCTCAAATATTTCATGGATTTTCTTGTGCTAATTCTGGTGGCTATTGAGTCAAACCTAATTTAATGCTTTCTATTGATCTCCATGTTAAACATTTAAGAATTTTGAGAGTAAAAACAGTTGTTTATTGTCAGAAGAAAATGTGTAAATTACATATTTTTAATAATGACAGATTATCTTAGGGATATATGGGTCGGGATATCTTAGAATTATCTTAGGAATATAAGATTATCTTAGAGTCGGTCTGTCGTGGGGGGGGTGTATTTTTTTTTTTTTTAGCACTAGATTTGCGACGAGGCGGAGCAGTCATGGGAGGAGTCTGTCTGTCTGTATTTACCCTCTTCAAACAGAGGGGGAAAAAAAGAGTTTAAAGCTGAAACAAGTAAGTTTGGCCAAGCTTGGTGCCCTCTGGCGGTGCCTGGCACTCCAGCTTTAAGCAGCGTTGTCAAGGCTGGGGCTACTTGGCCTGCTACTCTAAGCGTTACTGGACTATGGTAACGCTTGAACACACCCGCGGCAACCCGAATGTGTGTGGCACAGTTGGTACCCCTGGCTGTACCCGCTAGTACTCCCATGCCTCTCCCAGCACCTCCTCCCATGCCTCGCCCAG